ATTTATTTTTGATTTATTGTAGAGATGAGGTCTCGCTGCCCAGGTGGGTCTCGAACCCGCGGGCTCAGGCAATCCACTCCCCTCAGCCTCCCAAAGGCACCGGATTACAGGCTGAGCCACCGAGCCCGGCTTACAATAAATTATTTTTTAAAAAATTAGCCAGGTGTGGTGGCAGGTGCCTGTGGTTCCAGCTACTTGGAAGGAAGGATTGCCTGAGACCAGCAGGTCGAAGCCGCAGTGGCCATGAGCATGTCACTGCACTCCAGTCTGGGTGTCAGAGTAAGATCTGACTCAAAAAAAATAAATAAATAAGCGAAAGAAGTATGACTACTACATATATGATAATCAGGTGCTATCTAGTCCAAGTATGGAATAGTTATAAATGTGGTTTGAGAAGCATTTGTTTAGGAATTATGGTGTGATATAAAGGAGAAATAGAATATTCCATGGAAGCTTTCTCCTGTTTTTTTGTTTTTAATTCTTCATTTAAAATAGAATATGCTGCTTTTTGAAATGTGGCCTGTACCTAGCACATTATAGGTATTGATAAATACTATAACTGTGGATAAAGAGCCTAGTTGTTCTTGCCTATTAAGAGGAAGTTGAAGGGGTAAAGCAAAACAGCAACTCTCAGAATCACTTGACTTTGGAATGCATGAGCCATATTGCTTGTCAGGAACAGCTTTCCAAACCAACATAAGGAATTGCAGTTTTTTAAAACACTTTCATTGCTCCCAGATGCCTATTAAGTTAGGACAGTCATAGATAAAATACTTAGAGAAAAGCCAAGCAGACCCTTACGCTGTTGACGAAAGTAATGGAATGGTAACAAGTTATTTTTAGCTCTGGCCCTTCAGTGCCATTATTTGCCTGAGTGACCATGAGAAAGTCATTTAGCCTTCCTCATTTTGCTCATTCATTCCTTAACAGGTACCTTGCTACCTTGAAGTGTTAGATAAATGAAAAACTTACATTTTCATGATTTTTGTGTTTTTTGTTTTGTTTTGTTTTTAATTGGAGTCTCACTCTGTCACCCAGACTGGATTGCAGTGGCCGCTCCCGGCCACCGCAGCCTTGACCTGCTGGGCTCCAGCGATCCTTCCATCTCAGCCTTCCAAGTAGCTGGAACTATAGGCGCGCGCTACCACGCCCGGCTAATTTTTGATTTATTGTAGAGATGAGGTCTCACCAAATTGCCCAGGCAGGTCTCGAACCTGCGGGCTCAGGCAATCCACTCACCTCAGCCTCCCACAGCGCTGGGATTACAGGCTGAGCCACCGAGCCCGGCTGACTTATGTGTTTTCATTTCAGCTCTGTTTTTTAAAAAACCATGCAGTAGATTGTAGGATTTCAATAAATAAATTGTTGATTGGACATAAACATCTAAAATTAAGGTTTTTAAAGTATAGGTATTAGATTCTTAGAGCAACATAGGCTTACCTCCTCATTTTACTGATATTAAGACAAGTCATTTGCTCAAGATCACAGTTATTGGTCACAGATTCAGTTTTCACGATAATCAGTATTTTACTATGATATACAGTGGTAAATTTTTAAAATTTCGAAACTATTTTAGAGTATAGAACTTTAAAAGGAATAGGAATCTTAAAATTCTTAAATCAAATTTAACCTGTGTTTTTAGAAGAAAGTGTACACTTTCTACTACTTTTTTCCTGGCACTTTGCTCAAATGTGAATGGATATAAAATGCCTACTTTAACCACAATTTATAGCAGTATTCTAAATTAAAATTAAAAAATGTTAAAAACAGCTTGAATTAATTTTCACAATATTGAACTTTCAGAATGTAAAAGAACAAACTTATCCTGTCAATTTGCATTTTAGGTATATCCAGAGTCTTCAGGAACTTCTTGATTTTAAGGACAAAAGTGCTGAAGATGCTAAAGCTATTTATGAGTAAGTTTACTATTTTGATCCTATTCTGAATGTAATTTTTTTTCTTTTTTGAAGCTGAGATCTCACTCTGTCACCCAGGCTGGAATGCAGTGGCATGATCATAACTCACTGTAGCCTCAACCTTCTGGACTCAGGTGATCCTCCCTTCTCAGCCTCCTGAGTACTTGGGACTACAGGCATGCACCACCACACCTGACTAATTTTTTAAATTTTTTTGAAAAGGCGAGGCCTTGCTATGTTCCCTAGGGTGGTCTCAAACGCCTGGGCTCAGGTGATCCCTCTGCCTCAGCCTTCCAAGTAGCTGGAATTAAAGGCATGTGCCACCACACCTGGCTGTTTTTAAAAAAAATTTATTGTAGAGACAAAGTTTTGCCAAGTTACCCAGGCTAGTCTCATACCCGTGGTGGCTAAGGCAGTCCTCTTGTCTCTGCCTCCCAAAGTGCTGGGATCATAGACATGAGCCACCACGGCCGGCCCTTTTTCAAACATAATTTTGATCTGAAAATAGCATTCACCAAGGGTTTACTCTTTATCTAGATATTGAGCAGCCTTTACATGAATGATGTTATTTAATCTTTAACTTTATTGAGATAATGTTATTTGTGTATAAAAAGGGTAAGTAACTTAAGATTACACAGCTAGCTGATAGGACCAGGATTTGAACCCAAGCAATCTTACTTAAAAGTAAACTATAAGCCAGGTGTGGTGGCTCATGCTTATAATCCCAGCACTTTGGGAGGCTGAGGCAAGAGGATTGCCTGAGCCCATGGGTTTGAGATCAGCCCAGGCAACTTGGTGAGACCTCGTCGCTACAATAAGTAAAAAAATTAGCCGGGCGTGGTGGCGTGCCTCTGTAATTTTGGCTACTTGGAAGACTGAGATGGAAGGATCACTGGAGCCCAGCAGGTCGAGGCTGCGTTGGCCGGGAGCGTGCCATTGCACTCCACTCTGGACAACAGAGTGAGACTTCGACTCAAAAAAAAAAATTACATATAGAACCTTCATAGCCGGGCATGGTAGCATGCACCTGTAGTTCCGGGTACTTGGAAGGCTGAGGCGGAAGAATCGCCAGAGCCCAGCAGGTTGAGGCTGTGGTGGTCGGGAGTGTGCCACTGCACTCCAGTCTGGGCGATGGAGTGAGACTCCAACTCAAAAAAAAAGTACCTTCTGAAAACTGTCATTAACAGCTAAATTTATAAAATAAGCTAAGCACTCAAGCAGAATAATACTTTTTTTTTAAGAAAAGGGAAATGATGCTGGGGTCGGTGGCTCAGCCTGTAATCCCACGCCTTTGGGAGGCTGAGGTGAGTGGATTGCCTGAGCCCACGGGTTCGAGACCCGCCTGGGCAGCGAGACCTTATCTCTACAATAAATCAAAAAATCAGCCAGGCGTGGTAGCGCATGCCTGTAATTCCAGCTACTTGGAAGGCTGAGGCGGAAGGATCGCCGGAGCCCAGCAGGTCGAGGCTGCGGTGGCCGGGAGCGGCCACTGCACTCCAGTCTGGGTGACAGAGTGAGACTCAAACTCAAAAAAAAAAAAGAGAAATGAATAAAGAGGTGACTAGAATGATGAATTGTTTTATTTTTGAGGAGTTTTATTTGTGTTTTGAGTTTGTTTTTGAAGCTAATTACAAACTAGGAATTCCAAAAATGTTTTGAGCAGTGAAAGCATCATTGAAATAAGTTAATAGTACTCAAGATGATGACTTTGAATGGGAAAGCACTCATCTGGAAGTGTAAATTTTGATGGGTATGCTAGAAGATGGGTTTTGTTACTTCAGAGTGAAGTTTTCTTTCCTCTTTTATTTAGTTCTTTAAACTAACTATGTAATATCTTCTAAGTGACAGAAGTGGGAAGGCTGGATGATTTGAAAATTTACCTTTTAATATAATAGTCTGCTTTTCCTTTCCCATTTCATAGCTCATAGGATGAATGAAATGAGAATTATTTTCTACTTTTCTGTTCTAAGTGGTTCTTTCTCTCTTTGAACCCTAGGGAATAGTTCCAAAACAGACAGGCTTTATTAGTTCATTCATCTTGATTCCTTACAAGAGTCAAGATGCATGTGTTCCCCAGAAGCAAGTGCTCTGTCCTCTCATGTACAGTGTCCCTGGAATATCATCCTCGAAGTGAGTGCTCAGGTGACCTACCTTAGTTGATAACAGAGAAAACCATTAACACTTTTAGGATTAGGTTCTGTGGTAGCCCTACTCTCAGGAATCCAAGAAAAGAATTACATTTCAAAAGTTTTATTTTGGAGGTCCTTCTACTTTCATGGATTCAGTATATTTGATGATCTGAAATATATTGAACTAGTGTAGGAAAACATAAACTGATGTTTCTTTTACTGAATTAGGAATTTGTTGTCTAATATAGTTGTTTAAACTTTATTGTAGCACTACATTTACTTGTGAAAATATTTGTCTGTTTTGATAGACGGGTTTGTTTAGCTTTACAGATACTGTGATACGGATCAGGAACCGACACAATGATGTCATTCCCACAATGGCCCAGGGTGTGATTGAATACAAGGAGAGCTTCGGGGTGGATCCTGTCACCAGCCAGAATGTTCAATACTTTTTGGATCGATTCTTCATGAGTCGCATTTCAATTAGAATGTTACTCAATCAACACTGTAAGTGTCTTGAGTCAAGAGAAGAAGTTAAATAAGATGTGTTGGTATACTCAGAATTTATTTTGAAAACTGCCTTTTAGATAGAATATTTAGTTTTACTTTTTTACTTATTAAGAAAAGTAAATAGACTACCATATAATGAAGATACTGTTATTAAATGTAAAATACTATGTTTATCCTTCAGGAAAATATTTGTTCTACTGTTTGGTGCCATTTAAAGAAACAATATTAACATTTGGAAGAGAGCATTAGGTAGTTTAGTTTATTTTGTTTGTTTTTTTCTTTTTTTGATAGCTTTATTGTTTGGTGGAAAAGGCAAAGGAAGTTCATCTCATCGAAAACACATTGGAAGCATAAATCCAAACTGTGATGTAGTTGAGGTTATTAAAGGTAAATACATTTCTTTTTTCAAAAAGATACAAAAATCAAAATTGCAGAGTGTTGTTTCTTGCTATTAAAACAACCATTTGTATCATGAGATAAAATGTTAGGGAAATATATGAATTTCAAAATAACTTTTTAGCATTAATTATGCTTTCTGTATAGGATGAATATTTTGTTGATATAATTCTTTGTATCATTCCTCAGTGATTAGTGTTTTGATTACCTGAGAAGAAATGATAAGAATTTAAATTTGTTGTAATAGAAGAGGACTTTTTCTTCAATTTCATTGGATATGAAGGCCAAAGGAAAGCAATCATATAAAAATAATAAAAGTGTATATATAAAGTTTTGTGGCAAAGTTTGGTGATACTTTGCAGGGTATCTGTTCACTTCAAAAAAATTCAAGTCCCTGCTCCCTCCTTTCTAATTCCTTATACTAGGAGCAATAATTCATAGAGGTTTGGTTTGTATCTTTCCACACTTTTTTTTTGTTTGTACCATATGTGCACATACACATACACAGTTGTTTTTGGTCTTACAGTTTGTTGTTTGTAGAAAATGGGGTGTTGCGTATATTTTTTCTGCATGTTGACAGATATAGTCCCATGTCAGTACAAATGGATATATCCCAAGTTTTTGAATGGCCATATGGAATGTATCAGTATGTATTAATCCGTTCTCCTTTTGGTGTATACTTAGGTTGTTTTAATTTTTTTCTATTACCAGCAATACTCTCTGAACATCTTTAGATATATACTGAACTTTAGCTAGTATTTTAGAAAATAGAGTCCTAGAATTAAAATTAAATGCAGCTGGGCTCGGTGGCTCAGCCTGTAATCCCGCGTCTTTGGGAGGCTGAGGTGAGTGGAGTGGATTGCCTGAGCCCGCGGGTTCAAGACCCGCCTAGGCAGGCGAGACCTCATCTCCACAATAAATTAAAAAATCAGCCGGGCGTGGTAGTGCATGCCTGTAATTCGGGCTACTCGGAAGGCTAAGGCGGAAGGATCGCCGGAGGCCAGCAGGTTGAGGTTGCGGTGGCCGGGAGCGGCCACTGCACTCCAATCTGGGCGACAGAGTGAGACTCCAACTCAAAAAAAAAAAAAAATTAAATTCATTTAAAATTTTGGTACTCTAAAAAGGTATCAAACAATGAATAAGAGTACCTATTTTCTAAATCGTCACCAACTCTTAAGATTGTATTTTATATATATAGTATTTTCTTCAGGCTTTTACTTTTTATTTTATTTGTGGTATCTTTTAGCATGTAGACTTTTACTTTTCGTTTTTTAGTTATATCTTTTATTTTTTCTTTATGACTATTAAGCCTCATTGTGTCACATTCAGAAAAACTTTCCCTAAACTGAGATTTTTTTTTTTTTTTCCGGAGAAAGTGGGCTTTTTATTCATAGCACATTTGCAAAGAGCCAAATTGTCCGGTTCCCCCAGGTCAGTGTTTACAGGATAGGGTAATGATGGAGTCCCTTTCCCCAGCAACCCCTGGGAACCTGAAACCTGGGGAAAGGATCCCGACAGGTGGGGTGGGGCTCCCCATGTCCCCCACTGGAGCCAAGAGCAGATGATTGGAGGCGGAGGTGGAGGCGCATTTCTGCACACCTTGGGGATCCGAACCTTGGGAACAGTGGTTGCGAAAGTCACAGCCCTAGCACTTGGAGGGTGCAGGCAGGAACTCTGCTGAGAGTATTAAAGTATATTTTTTTCTGCAGAGTTTTAAATTTTCATCTCAGTACTATTACCATCTTAATGCATGAAACAAATAAATTTATTAAATCATTCTTTTTTTTTTTTGCTTCACACTAGATGGCTATGAAAATGCTAGGCGTCTCTGTGATTTGTATTATATTAACTCTCCTGAACTGGAACTTGGAGAACTAAATGGTAAGCCTGGTGCTGTCTTTTCCTTGGTGATTAGATTAGTGTTTTGATACCTGAGAAGGAATGATAAGAATTTAAATTTGTTTTAATAGAAGAGGACTTTTTCATCTTCATTGAGTATGAAGGCTGAAGGAGAACAATTATGTAAATATATATAATTTAGTTGGATTTCTTATGAAAAATATTTTGACTTTTTCTGCCCCATTTTCCTTATTTTTAACTGATAACTTTGATTCTTTGCTTATTTTTTACTTTCTAGCTAGTTGTAAAAAAAAAAAATGTCGAGAATGTTGCACTTGACTTTTATATACACTTCAATAAAGTAAGGCTTATCTTTTTTCTACTTCCCGAGCTGTAAATAATTTTTACTGTTGAGGAAGTAAAAAAGACTGTGGCTGGAAAAGAGGAGAGAAAGATGCTTACCTCTTTGAGAATCATTCTCTCTGATGGTCTTCTTTCACCCTAATGCCTTATGGACAAAAAGGGTTTAGATTCCTTGGAAGGAGATCAACGAGTCTCCTCCTTTTTTCTAGAGGCACAGTTTGACAGAGGGAAAAACATTTCCTAAGATGACACTTTAAGAAGGTGGTGGGAAGAGTAAACTAAATAGGATTTGACTAAGCTGTATTCTTGACTCAGAGTGGGAGAGCAGTGAAGAAGCTACCTAGTTGAAAATAGAATTGCTTGCTGGTTTTCTAAAGCAATATTAACTGTTTTGATCCATGCTGAGTATCATTCAGTAAATAAGAATCAGTGTACAAATGGTAGTTTTAGAACCTGAACTACCGTGGGCAATTTTCAGATGTCCTATCCACATTCTCAAGGGGGAGTTTATTCAGAGGAGAGTCTGTTTTATTGTTTAAATTAGAATTCTAAGGTATGGTGAATCTTACTCCTTTGTTCTACTAAAGGTCTGTTTTATACACACACCCCAGCTCCAACTGGGCTCCTATTAAATGTTTGAATGTAGAATTTATAACTTGAGAAATTGATGCTAACTCAAATTTTTTCTTCAGCACGATATCCATAGAAATGTCTAAAATAAAACAGACCAGAAACATTTAGAAAATGACTTCTTAAAAAAAGAGTGTATTTATGTGAACTGGAATTTTTAGACTTTTTATTTTATTATTATTTTTTTTTATGAGGCTGAAGGATAGCCTGAGCTGTGGAAATTTATAGACTTTAACACTTCTTTTTGGAAAGTAAAATTCCTACCTGAAGATTGAGTGATCATTTGAAAGACTTACCTAGAAAAGAATGGGAGCATGGGTTGGTTAGATTGTTACTCAGGATTGTGAGAAATGATCACTGGACTCTTGTTGTTGTCAATTATAAATGTTTGTGAGTATGGGCTCCAAACACTAATGCAGTGAAGAAATAATGTGGCAGTTCTCCCCCATGTAATACAGTCCTCCATAGTTAATGTTTTCTTTTCATCACTACACAATTTATTCTTTAAAATGCTTTAAGCACATCTCTCTGTACTTTCATATTTTTCTCTTCTGCTCTGTAGCAAAATCACCAGGACAGCCAATACAAGTGGTTTATGTACCATCCCATCTCTATCACATGGTGTTTGAACTTTTCAAGGTTTGTAAAATAGTATTACATAACCTTTACCAGTCCTTTCCTAAGGTTAGGAATCTGCTCTGAAAGTCAAATATTTCACTGGGTTCTCCTATTTCATTTTTTAAAAAGTCATTTCATATCAGTATCATGTCACATTGCTAGAAATCAGCCTTTGTCAACAAAGAGGCACCTCCATTTAGTGGTGAGTCAGAAGGACTTGGGTTTGAATCCAGTTCTGTCACTTAATATGTGTGTGCTCTCAGGCAAGTCACTCAACCTCTCTGAGTCTCAGTTTCCTCTTCTGTAAAACAAGAATACTACCCAGGATAGTTTATAAAGATTGAAAATAACATACTAAGTATCTAATACAATGGCAACACATTATAGGTGCTCACTAAAGTGATGTTTATATTTTTATAAAGCAATATTTAGAAAAGTGATTCTCAACTTTATATCCTCAAAGGACCAGAGTCCCACTAATATGCCTGCTTTTTTTTCCCTGAAAGTCATTTATATGGACTTAAAGTACGTCTGTTGTCATCTTTGCTCATTATAACAAATTTTGAAAACTACATAAATGATACTAGTAATGTTGAGAGTGTCTTTTTTTTTTTTTCTTTTTCCCAATGACTTGCTGGTTGACATGAAAATGGGTGAGGAGTGGCACGGGTCCGCATGGCTGAAAACGACTGCCCTACGTCAGAAGCCTGTCATCTCTTTTATTTAGTTAGCGTGTCTTCAGCCAGCAGCAAACTAGAGGAGAAGGTGGCTTTCAGTCTGATAACATAAAAGAAAAATACACTGAAACACAGAAAAATGGCTATCTTAGAACAATACCAGAATGCTATTGTTCTAAGACAGCAAGAGCTTATCTAACACCTCACACAAATCTTTTTATCAAAGTGGTTAAATAAATAGTGATTGACACTTAAAGGTTAAAACTAATTTTTTTCCCTGAAATTTCAGTCATATAAAGATGTTGTGATAGAAGTATTTTTGTATTCTGTAACATATTTTACATAATGTCGGTAATAATGTCTTTCATCTGGAACCTAATCCTAAATTGCCTTTGGTAGAGTGATGGCATCTCCTCCTCAGGTCTACTCAATTGTGATTGGTGTACCAGGACCAGTCTTTTATTGCCATATTCAGTCCCATCTTTTGCCTTTTTAATTATGTCTACTCTTTATCACTTTCTATTTCAATGCTGCATACCATGTTGCTATTATTTAATGTTACAAATGTTGGCATTGTGTCCCCGATTCCTTTAGAAATTCTTCAAAGTTTTACAATGTAAATATCCTTGGTTTCAAACTAGAGATAAAGGGATTTGTTTAAGACCATTACTGTTACTACTTCATGAAGAAATTATCTTCCCTTGAGGAAAGTTATAACAGTTTTTAAAAATGATTCTAAAAGTGGAACTGAAACTACATTTTCAAAAATAAGTTTTGCCTGTTATTGACTAAGTTATAAAAGTGTTTGGACAGAATTTTCTGCTTTAATATAAACAAGTTAAAAGTGCTTAGATGTCTGAATTTGGAAGACATGAAGAATTCAGTTGAAATCTTTAAATCAGAATATTCCCTCAAATGCTCCTAAAATTAACTCCACTTTTTAAAAAAGTAACTCTTTAAATCTTGTTATAAGAACTATAATTGTTTAGCATATTTTCATCAAATTTAAAAATTAAATTTAAATAGTGTATGTCTTGTTGCAAATTATAGTTTCTCTTTTTTAAAAAGTTGTGTTTTTAACGTAACCCTAATATATATTTCAGAATGCAATGAGAGCAACTATGGAACACCATGCTGACAAGGGTGTTTACCCACCCATTCAAGTGCATGTCACATTGGGTAATGAGGATTTGACTGTAAAGGTAAATGGTTTGTTTTTTTTTAAATTGATGTATCAAGACGTGCAAAGATAACCATACACATATTTCCTAGAAAATATAATTTCTTCTCAGGGGAAAGAAATCCTGTCTGTAATAGATAATAAACACATTGCTTCATTTATTTGGCAGATTATAGAATTGTCCTTTGAGTCTGTTTCTATTCAGTCCCTAATCCATGTGATTCAAATTAAGGTAAATTCTGGAGACAGACAATGTAGCAATAATCATGAATATCTGCTTTGATAAGTCAGATCTAAAATATTTGAGTATTTGTAGTGGTATAGAGATAGTATGTAATTTTTTCTTTCTAAACATTGCTTTGTAGTCTACCTTTATTTTGTTTTATTTGATTCTCATAACAGCTCCTTAATTAGGAGCACAGGTAATTTTATCCTCAGTTTTACAGGTGATCATTTGGTTTCTTTCTATTTTTTGGTTATTATGGATAGTACTGCTGTGAACATTTGTTACAAGTTTTTGTGTGAACATATGTTTCAGTTCTCTTAGGTATATCCTAGGAATTAAATTGCTGAATCACAGGTAATTCTATTGAGGAACTGCCCAACTGTTTTCCAAAGTGTCTGCACCATTTTACGTTCCCATAAGCAGTGTTTAAAGGTGCCAGTTTTCCCACATTCTTGTCAGTATTTGTTATTGTGCCTTTTTGATTATAGCAGTTCTTGTGGGTGTGAAGTGGTGTCTCATTGTGACTTTAATTTTCATATCTCTAATGACTGATGATATTGAACATCTTTGCATTTGGTGATTGGCCATTTATATATCTTTGAAGAAACATCAGTTAAGATCCCTTGCCTAGTTTTTAAATGGGTATTTTGTCTTTTTGCTGTAGAGTTGTAAGGGTTCTGTCTGTGTATGTTTATATTTATATTTAGTGAATCCTAGTTCCTGATGAGATGTATGATTTGAAAATTTGTTTTCCCATTCTGTGGGTTCTTTTAGCTTTCTTAATCATGTCTTTTGGAGCACAAAGTTTGTAGTTTTGACACATTCCAATTATTTAATTTATTTTTTAATTTCTTGTTATTTGTATTATATGTAAGAAACCATTACCTTCTCCAGTGTCTCAAGAATTCATACCTATGTGTTCTTCTAAGATTTTTATAGTTTTCACTTTTATACTTAGTTGTTTGATCCATTTTGAGTTCATTTTTGTACATGGTTTGAGAAAAAGGTTCATCATCTTCATTCTTTTGCATGTGGGTATCCAGTTGTCTTAGTACTATTTATGAAAAAGCTATTCTTTCCCCATGGATTGTCTTGTCACCCATGTCAAAAATTAATTGCCCATAAATGTATGGATTTTTTTTTCCCTGTATTTTCAATTCTATTCCATTGATCTATTTGTTTCTCCTCAGACCAGTACTCAATGCCTATCTTGGTTATTGTGGCTTCAAGTAAACCCAGCACTTTGGGAGGCTGAGGTGAGAGGATTGCTTGAGCCCAGGAGTTCAAGACCAACTTAAGCAACATAGAGAGACCTCATTTCTACAAAAAAAGATAAACAAGTTAAAAATGTTTAGATGCCTGAATTTGGAAAATATGCAGAAATTAGTCAGGTGTAGTGGTGAATGCCTGTAATCCCAGCTACTCAGGCGACTGAGGCAGAAGGATTGCCTGAGACCAGGAGATGGAAGGTGCAATGAGCCATGATTATGCCACTGCACTCAGGCCTATGTGACAGAGTGAGACTCCAGCCCCCTCCCCAAAAAATAATAACCAAAAAACCCTGCAAATTTGCAAGTGTGAGTCCTACAATTTATTTTTCAATTGTTTTGGTTATTGTGAGTTACTTGCATTTTCATAAGAATTTTAGGATTAGCTTGTCAATTTGTTCAAAAACACCAATTAGACTTTTGATGGGCATCAATTTGGGAAGAATTGCCATCTTAAACAATATTAAAATTTTCAATTCATGAACATAGGATGTCTTTACAGATATTTGGGTCTTTGATTCCTTTCAACAGTGTTTTATCATTTTTAGTGTACATTTGCACTTTTGTTAATTTATTCCTATTTTATTCCTTTTGACGCTATTGTAAATGGCATTGTTTTCTTAATTCCATTTTTGTATTCTTTGCTAGTGTATAGGAATATAACCAATTTTTATATATTGATCTTGCATTTTGCATCTTTGCTGAACTTGTTTATTTGCTGTAATCCATTTTTGAGGATTACTTAGGATGTACATAATCGTGTCTTCCGCAGATAGAGGTTAATTTTACTTATTCTTTTCCAATCTGAATTTTTTTCCCCCTAATTGGTGTGGCTAATACCTCTAGTATAGTATTGAATAGAAGTAGTGACAGGAGACATCCTTGTCTTCATCCCAGGGGAAGCTTTCATCATTAGGTATCATGTTAGCTGTAGGTTTTTCATCGATGCTGGAGAGGATGTGGCAGAAAGGGAACACTTCTACACTGTTGGTGGGAGTGTAAAC